GGTTGATACGAAGGGCACCAGGTAATCCTGGTAGGATATGCGGTATTGATGTCAACATGCATGTCTGAGTAGGACTTCACGGGTCCAATAGTGCGGCGAACATCGATAGCGAAACTTCCATTCGGTCTTCCAGGCTCTGAATTGTCTGGTGGAGTAATCTGAACTCTGATTCTACGAGATGATTCATTGCCATGGAATTCTTCTGCGATAACGAAGTCCGTTTTGAGTGATAAAGCTGCAAGTCTCGATGATTGGCCAGGCTTGGTAGCAGGAACATGAAGTAAGGGTAGAGGATAGTCCCGGAGGCTAACTCTTACCTCACCCATATTGATCTGGACGTTCATAGGTACGAGGAGGGAGTATTTCATATCCTTGGGCATTCCTTTTCCGACTTCATGTAGAAAATCTGGTAGCTTCTGGATTGGGAATGACGGCTTGTCAATCACTATTTGCAGATCTGTTATCACAGTTGCCATCAGTGCCGGTCGTTGAGGCACTTCAAGTATTTTCTCATTATCCTCGACATCGTCAGGAATTTCATCGGGACCCCAGAATAAGCCGCGCAGCTCCTTCATACCATTTCTCGCCATCGCATAATGGCGATCAATACGCCTCTTCCAGCTTTGGGCGTTATGCTGATGGAGTTTAGTTCTAGCTTCCTGAATCGAGACGTGTGCGCTACCGCTCATGCCACGAATTGTTTCCGGGTCGTATCGAGGGTTCCTGCTTCTCGGCGCTTCGCTAGAGGAACGCTCTGCACGGCCAAATTGTGCGAGACCATCTTCACTCCTGCTTCTTACAAAAGAAGCATTCGAAGCTGCCGTTCGTCCTCTTGTCATCACAGATCGATTTCTAATCCGATTCGACTCTTTCCTTATTTCTTCTTCGTGGATCTTCTTCACTTTGACCCGATAAGCCTCCTCACGAGCAAGCCGTTGTAATTGCTCAACACGTCCAGCCCTATAAATCATTCCTAACTTCCATTCAAAAGCGCCGTCTTCAAGCTCAAATAAAAGAGTGCGGGTTCTCAAGGAGATTTTCGGGACGTTCTTTGGGCCTTCTGGTGCCTTATCCAGGATATACTCGTTCGTGCCTGTCTTGAAGCGGTGATGTAGTTGCTCGCTCGCCTTGATGACATTGATGATGTTGTCGGATATCTGGCTGATAATAAGCTCATGAGGTACTGCTAGTCGCATAGCATCGGTTACTATATCAAACATTTTATCGTCGTGATAACCACCAGTTGACATTTTCCTGCGTGACTGGCGGTAGTCTAGACGGATAGTCTTGATGCTTGCAACGCGTGCCCAAACTCCTCGCATTCGAGGCGCACCAGCATATAGCCGGATCAATTTTGAGAAGAAGAACGGAGGTGACCACCTATGCCGGCCAGCTTCCATGGCATATATCTGCATCATCAAAGGGGGATCGGAGGGCATTTCGGCTTTGATCTGAATAAGGGAGGCTTTAATATCATATGAGACAAGCTCCTTCGAGTACCGTGGGAATTTATCCATCTGATCAGCAATGGGCGAGTCGGGTGATATCAATGGAGGGCTCAGGTATCCTGTCTTTGGACTGGCTGGCGTCGGGGGTTGCGGTCCCGCTCCCGGTCCTCTCGTGAACGCATTTCGCAAAACCATGACAGCCACGCCTATGGAGTAGTGTCGATAAAGTGAATAATGAATAAGTAGAGTTCTCATATGGGAATGGACGTGAAGAATTGGACCCTGGGCATCACTGTGTGTCGAGAGAGCCACCTCGAAGCGGGGCATTTGAACGAACGGCTCAGCTTCCCATTTCTCTGGTGCCTCAACTATGAAAGCCTCCAGATTTCGCGTATGAAGAGTGAGCCTTCGTCCATCACCCTCAATCTGCTGCTTTTTGCGTGGGGATGGCGGCATGCCAACCGAGTTCAAGAAATCCGCATCAGGTATAAAAGATCGGCTAGCCGTCCGTCTTCGAGACGCTGGTCGGTTCCGTAACGAATCTAACCTATGAGCTCGATACTCCGTCGACCACGATTCCACTTGTAGCACGACGCCTCGAGTATTCCCGGGGAAATCTTCATCGATGCCCGTAATTTCAGCACTGAAGTCTTCGACTTGTACTGAAAATTGAAGCAGCCACGATGGCAGGGCACGAACAATGTTCTGAGATCTTTGCGTCTTTGACCCCGCCCTCTTGTCAGGCTCAACATCCAGCTTAAGCTGACGAACGATTTGGCGCAGACCTTTGGTTATCTCTGGGCGGGTCATACGAATTGCAAAGGTCTGGAGCTGACCGTTGGCAATTACATGGACATCAGGAGTTGCTGAGAGCTGTACTTTGAGGTCGAACGAATCTGTATCTATTAAGTCAAAGCGATTGCCTTGAGCAGTTTGATAATAGAGATGGTGGGTTTGAAGTCGGAAGGATGATACCAAAGAATAGTGTAAGTCTTCAACTGCAGAATGGAAGGACTCGAGGTCAAGCGAGATAGAGGAGATGGAAGAAATGATTAAGTCGAAGTCATCCGGGTCGTTTGTCTTTTCAACTGGAGGTAAAGCTATCCTGAGGACTGGTTCATGCATGGAAAACTTGATATTAGCTTTCGGTAATAGACGGGAAATAAGCATATGCCTCTGCTGTACGTGGGCCTTTGGCGCCTTCGGCCGGGGCTGGAGAAGAGCAAGAAGCACGGGAAGATGTTTTGGATAAAGATCCACCGAAGGCGAGGTAACGACAGAGTTCGCAAAGAGTATATTGGCATTTCGCTCTTCGGCGCTTCCAACATCAGAGAGCTCCACCGTTTTTGAAGGTAGGGTAGTCTTTACGGTTGTAGTAGCCATGGGAATATACACTATTCTTTCTGGTCTACCATTGCCATCATCAAGCCCAACAGAAATTGACAGGGCCGCGCCCAGAGCCTCGTGAGCAATGTCCTTTGAAGGAAAGTACATGCGATGTGCCGGGGACTTGGGGTCCAAGCGATGTAAGTCTATACCGACCTCCTTCATAGAAGCATTCAACAATAAAGGCGAACCAGCTGATTTCACAGCATTCACCTTCTTCGAGAGGCTGACAAAGCTCACTGCAAATTGGACTTCCTTAATTCCTCGAAGGATGGAGCTCACGAACTCTTTAGAATCAGACACCGTCTGCATTAACTCTTGGTCCGTACTGCCCGGCTGATCAAGTTCTTGTAAGACCTTGTCGACCGAAACCTCGATTGACTCGGCCTGCGTGTACGTATTTGAGTTCTGACGCTTGGATTTCTTGTAACGCTCGACACAGCTTCGTACATCGTCGTAAGGAATGTGCAGTCTGCCAAATTTAAGTGCAATAGCTGCATCCCGCAAACCATCCAAATTCTCATAGAGGAACCCATGGATGTTCAGCGTAGCACTATCCAGAATCTCAATGGCCTCGGCCCCCTTAGCTGTGAACAGAACGCTTCGTAAGGTGACGATCCATTCAGCAGAGTGTTGTTGACCCTGCTTTTCGGAACTTGTTTGGAAGAAGAAACGTGCGCGGTCCACCATTCGATTTCGAGTATCCAAGGCTATTGTAAAGCTACCAAATTGTATTTTGCCAGCATCCACAATATTAAGCGTAGAGTCGGTGGCCACGACATCTACCATACGAAGCCAACGGACATTTCGGTGGAGCTTCTTCACACGCTCTTTGACCTTTGTGAGCTGTTTCCAAGTAGCACTGCGAGCAGCCTCAAAGGCTGCTCGCCTGGAAGGCTGTTTCTTGGGTAGGGCTTTCGTTGTGATAGGCGGCTTCAGCCCTTTACCAACATCGCCGTCGCTCTCACTCTCGCTAGTATCGGCCCCAGCATGTTTTTGTTCTTCGAGAACTTTAATATCGACAGTTACGGCGAGTTCGCTTACGACGATGCTGAGCCAGGTCGGCTGGGAGAAAGTCGGACGGTGGACATTGAGGCCCAGGCCGCGGATCTCGATCTTGATGCCATCTTTGGGGGTATAAGCTAGTCGACGGAACGAGAAGTATCCAATTCGTTGTATAGATATTCCGGTTACTATACGGACTACGGCGAACAAGACAAAGGACGAGAGGTATAGGAGGACGAATACGCCAAAGACGAAAGTCGGATTTAAGAGTGCCATAGCACCTCAAGCAAGGCGTGTGCCGCGTTGCTAGCTTACGAATATAATATTAGCATAATTAGTTACGAGACCCAACATCTATTTTATTCTTACATTGTCACTTCGCGTGCTTGCTCTCCCTGCATCATCCGAGTGGTCGGGATAGGCGTTAATCCATATCGTTGCGTGTCGAGGTCAGAACGGCGATAAAGACAGGGATAGCTTTGTTCTTAGGTGGTATTTGAACGTGTGCTTAAATGGTTATAAAATATCCAGGCCCGTCCCTACTCGGATCTATAGATAGATAGCTGTTAGTCGGCTGAACAATAGCTCTAGATGTCTAGAACCAAGGGGTCGCAGCTGCTACCTCTAGGAAGGGGGTCGCAAATCGTGACAGATGAGAAGGAGGATTAGAAAAGGCTACAATACCTGGAAAGAGATAGGAAGAGATGGGTAAGGGTAATGCACGTCACAATGCAGCCGCATTGGTGGAAATCCTACGCTAAAATAAGGGTTGTACAGTGTACAAGACGCCGAAGAACAGCAAAGACAGGGCAAAAGACAGGGCAAGACAGGGCAAGGCAAGCCCCTAACGTGGGGTTTACATATTAACCCACTTAAGTCTAGATTAATGATTAATAACTCGGGAGACAGATGACACCAATGATTAACAAAGAAACAAAGAAACAAAAAATTCGAAATAACTCACCTCAATGAATTCAAGAGTACCTACCTAATTTACTATGTAGTTCTTAGTAACAACACAGAGAGAAGAAATTCAGATTATATACCGAACCTATATAACAGGTTTAAGTTTTCTAGATTTCTTCGTTTATTTGGGAATAAGAGGTATGATAGTAAAATGAGCAAACTTCGGTTCCTCCCGTCCCGCAGAGGTCTCCAGTACTCATTCAAGCTCATTCAATTATTAGTGGATCCGTCTATCCTAATATGTAATGGAGGTACTCATTTCACTTTGGTTCTCTAAACTTCGGCGAGTTCAAAATAATCTCCTGAGGCTATGTAATATCGCCAGTCTGTACAAATCAACGGGTGTATGTAAAACATTCTCGCTAAGCCCCAATGTTCCCGAGAAGAAAACCTCCATGTACTCCCTCCTTAAAGTCAACCGTGCAACTCCTTGCATGCTTCCAGAAATGACTAGTTCCCCCTGAGTAAAATCAAAGTTGTCGAGTTCCCATAAATTACCTATTACGGTACATCGTCGATGCTAGAGCTTTGACCGGACAACCTCTAGTCTGTACTTGACATCTTTGAGTGCCTTAGTGCTAGGCGACCAATCGTCAAACTGCTTTAGCAGTTCCGTCGTCTCCGAGTACAGTTCTGTCTTAACAAACTCCTCTTCTAGTAATCCACGCATAATCCAAGGCAACAGAAAGGGGTTTGGATTTGCCAATCTCTCTTGCCTCTGAATTCGACATGGCACGCCAGAAACATTGGTAGTCTCGAGAGCGTGTGAAATTGCCAAGCTTTAGCGTATTAGTAATGTTCGAATATTCATCCAGAAGCCGTTTAAACAAAAACTCACTCGTAAACTCGCTCATCGTCGTAGAGCCTTGAGTGGCCCTCCCCGGAATAGAGACTACCGGCTAGTGGTATGGAGAGCTCGCGGATGAGGCCGTGATCGGATATCCCCAAGTTTCGCAGTTTCAGTGCGAACCCAACTAGATGAGCAATGAAATCCGGGGCGTGAATACGTCCATCTATGAATACAGCACGGTATATATAAGGGTGTGAAGCTGGCGCGTTGATCGCGGATTCCATAGGAACCAGTTGATCATCAATGCTACCAATGTACTGCGATACTTAGTATTCGTTGTGATCAATTACGAGGAGCGCAATCCAACTAGGTTTCTTTAATACTCACAGTGATACGAGCTCCATAATTAACAACAGCTTCAAGTGCATGTTGGTATCTCTTGGATATTTCGCTTTCGGGGTCGGCAAACTGCCATAACTCAGCAGCAGAGCCCATCAACACTATATCATCCCATGTCAGTAGCTGCCATTTGCAAATAGCTATGGTAAACACTTACTACCCATGCCGGACTTGTAGTCAGGGAAAGGTCCAAGCGAAACACCAGCTAATCGACAGTGTTAGCAGCCAGTGTTACACTAACCATCGCCAATTACTTACCCATAGCGCAGACCCCAACTTTGGAGCTGGTGATGATACCCAAATCTATTAGCTTTTCAAGGAGCATTAAGCCAACAGGAACTCCTTGAGAATGGCAGGCTAAAACGATAAAGTCGGCGCCACGGATATGGTCTATCCAATTTAGGAGGAGCTTCCAGAGGTTATCGACCCTGTCCGCAATCTTTCCTTCGCCCTCAAGAGCGACCTTTTCAATCTCACAGTCCTCGCAACCGTGACTTTCTGCCCACCTCCGTATCGCCTCAGCGCCATGGTTTGCAAAGCGAATCGAGGTCCCTGTCGGCTGGCCAATCATCGGCCTCAGATATGATGCCGGGAAAAGACCGTGAATGCCAATAGCAACAGCTTTCTTGATTTTCGGTGGTTCTTTAACAAGGAATACGTGGTTTGTGGGGGGCTGTTGCGTCCGCAGCAGCAATTGTGTAATCTGCTTAACGATTGATGGGTTGTTCCTCATACGATACGTATTACGAAAGGAAGGCAGAAGCAGATTCGGTGCAGACGACTTGCTTGAACCCGGAGCAGAGGATTTCGATGGTAAAGTCTTCGCAGACACGTCTGACTGTGGAGTCCCTGGTCTTGATATCTGCTCACCGATATCTAGAGACTGAGGCCGTACCCTCTTGTTCCTCTTGGAGGAGTTCACCCTAGTAGATGCCTCCTTCAACGTCTTGACCGGAGCTTCTTTTACTGGCGTTGCACTTCCATTAACCTCGACACTGGTCGAGTGTCTCGGATTCGCCTCTGAACCATCCCCCATAATAGCCAACTCGCCGGATTCTGGCGTAGCGGCCGTTTTCGCGTTGCTTTTCTGACCTGTATCTCTAGACCAAAAAGCCCACGTCGAACTAACGGACGGCTGGCTCACTTCTACCGGCTTCGAAGGTGGGCTATCTTCCATAACTACGTCTTGGTTTCCCTTCGGCATAGATTCTTGGGCCGGTAGTGTATCCGTCGGCGTTTGCGCGGAGTTTTCTGGTACAGAGGATGTTGCCGATGAGTACCAATATCCAAACCAAGAGCTCGACGGCTTGGTAGAGGTAGATTCAACAGGTTCCGCCGGTGTCTGGTCAGGTTCAGAAGGTTGAGGAGGTTCAGAAGAGGGTTGAGATGTATCTGGCTGCATATTTTCGGGTTCTTTAGGAGGATCGACTTCCATACTTTCGTCCTTCGGAGTAACCACCTCTGGCACCGATGACCTGCCAAACCATCCCAACCAACTAGAAGAGGCCTGAGGTGGTTGCGTCGTTCCCGTCGAAGCTTGAATCTCACTTTTGTTCGCGGTCGCATCGGGAGCCTCTTGGTCCTTTATCACCGCCATTTCATTATTTTTATTAGCATTATCTGCTTCCCGAGTTTTTGCGGATTTGCTATCATCTTGTTCAGGCTCCACAGGTGCTTCGGTAATTTTGGGCAGTGCCTTAGTAGATTGGCCATCGGATTCAACAGAATCGTTATCCTTCTTAATTTCGAAACGGCTAAAGTCGGGAACGGCGTCGGGACGTAGAGTGCCACCCATGATAGTCTGATGTGAGACTTGAGTTGAGGCAGACGACTTGGGTACTCGTGGCCAAGAGCCATACCAACTTCGAGGCTTGCGCACCTGTGACATAGAAATCCTCTAATTAGTAGTAAGTTCTAGGATATGATTTAGTCATATAGTATATTGCAGACCTGCTTTGAATCATTAGGTCTTGTAGATGTAGATTTAGATGTAGATGCAGATGCAGATGAATTCGAATTATCTCGCTTCGTGGGTGGCATCGACTGGCCCGAAGCTAGAGAGGATTGTGACGCAACACCGCCGTTGGCGTTGGCCTGTGATGGGAGAGTTACAGGACTAGCATCACTGTTCTCCCTAGTAGAGGGATTCGGTTTCGCACGCTTCCGGGGAATCATAATGGATTATGATGTAGAACTTGAGAAGTCGACTCCATAGAATGAATACTTTCCTACCAAGTTTCGTTGTTAATTATTCTATGTTTCACTACGTAACCTTTGAGCAGGAAACCATGTTAAGGTACCTAAGGTACATACCTACATGTAGTACAGGCCTCGGAAGCAAAGCTGCATTATGGCGGGAAAGTGGGACACCCATGTAGCTCCTACATAGCTCCTTGTAAATCCAAATACCTAGACGCCAATGGGAGGCGATAATAGGTGGGGGTTGCCTGCTAACTCCTAGTGTAGACCCTGCAGCAGCTGAGCAAAGGAGGTATCGATCATTTCCGTACCCACTAGAAACTCTTATCGATAATCGATAATCGATAACTGACTATCGCGAAAAAAAGTTACCCTGCGCAGAAGATTGAAAGCAAAGTTTCAAGTGGAATCAATCTTAGCATATCTAACAATTGTATAAGCCCTCCACCGAACGGGCGCAATTTTACTAGCAAATTGCTATGAGATAGGCAATGAGCTCACTCAAGAGGAAAGATGCCCCTGGGGCGGCATCAATTGCAAAACCCACGAAAGCGCATAGCGACTCGCGGCCGTCAAAGCGATCCAAGCCCGACAAGACCTCTGAGAAAAATGATTCTGAGAAAAATAATGCGAAGTCGAATTCGAATTCGAAACCCACTAGCACATCTACAGTCTCGCGCTTAAAGGAAGATGAACCTCTTTTTCCTCGTGGAGGTGGCAGCGTCCTCACTCCACTTGAGCACAAGCAGATCTCCATACAGGCGAAGCAAGACGTTCTATTCGAGCAAGCGTCCGGGCAGAGTACGAACAAACCAGACCGTATTTCCAAGAAGAAGAGGGTCAAGCTATCGAAGGATGGAAAGTCTGGAAAGTCTCAGCAGGATGAAGAGAGTACGAAGGTCGAGAGTCTCAACTACAAGGTTTGTTCCAAATAACCATCGTATACCATTCGAATTTGCTGCTAATAATTTCTAGCGGCTAGTCAAAGGCTCTCTAGTTCTCGGCCAGGTAGCGGAAATTAACCCTCTAGAACTTGTCCTATCACTACCAAACAATCTCTCTGGCCATGTGCCAATTACTGCTATTTCCGACACTCTAAACGAGAAGATAGCAGCCGAGGCGGCCAATGACGAGGAAGATGACGAGGCCGAAGATGGTCTCGACCTACAGACCATCTTCAAAATTGGCCAGTATCTTCGCGCCTATGTCACGTCAACTATTGAAGAGTCGACAGCCGCTTCTGCTAAACCTAGGAGGCGTATTGAATTAACATTGCGTCCAGCTCTCGCAAATACAGGTTTATCCAGTCAGGATGTCGTTACCAACTCTACCGTCATGGCAACAGTCATTAGTGCCGAGGACCATGGTTTCGTCATGGAACTAGGTATATCTGATTCAGACCTGCGAGGATTCTTGCCTCGAAAAGAGTTAGCAGAAGACATGACGGATTCTCAACTACAACCTGGAAGTGTCGTCTTATGTCTCGTGACGGGGAAAGCTACCAACGGCAAGGTTGCTCAGTTGACTACTCTTCCGAATAAAATTGGGAGAGTCCAGAACTATGCATCAGAAGCAACCACAATTAACACGTTCTTACCAGGATCCGCGGTAGAATTCATGGTAACAGATATTGCCAAGCGTGGAATACTAGGAAAGGTTATGGGTTCCCTGGATGTTACGGCTGATCTAATCCATTCGGGTCTCGGACCCAAGGCCCTAGACTTGGATTCCAAGTATAAGATTGGGAAGAAGTATAAGGCTCGCGTAGTATGCAACTTCCCAGCCGCTAAAGATCCAAAATTAGGTGTCTCGTTGCTAGACCACGTGGTGTCCTTGAAATCAAAGTCGACTCCTTCGGGTGAGCTGCCTCCGAAAGCTCTCCCTATATCATCAGTGGTGGAACAATGCAAGGTTATCAAGGTTGATCCAGAAGTCGGCCTGTTTGTTGATGTTGGTGTCGAAGGAACACCTGGGTTTGTACATATATCCAGGGTCAAAGATGGTAAGATCGATATGCTGTCCGAGTCTTCTGGCCCCTTTAAAACGGATTCCGTGCACCGTGGCCGAGTAGTAGGCTACAATGCTATTGACGGCATGTTCCATCTATCGTTCGAGAAGCACATCCTAGAGCAGCCGTTCCTGCGCATCGAAGATATACCCATAGGTGAAGTTGTCAACGGGGAGATTGAGAAGTTGATGGTGAATCAAGATGGCGTCAGTGGCCTGCTTGTTAAGCTTGCAGAGGGTATTGTTGGCTTTGTTCCGGAAATGCATTTGGCAGATGTTCGACTACAACATCCCGAGAAGAAATTTCGAGAAGGACTCAAAGTTAAAGCTCGAGTGCTTTCAACCGATCTAGTCAAACGACAAGTCAAGCTTACGTTGAAGAAGACGCTTGTAAACTCCGAAGCGGTCCCCCTAAAGTCGTTTAACGAAGTTACTGTGGGTATGCAAGTTCCGGGTACCATCATCAAGGTGTTTGCCAACGGTGCCATCGTACAATTTTATGGTACGCTCAGAGGGTTTTTGCCAGTTTCGGAAATGAGCGAGGCGTACATTCAAGATCCAAAAGAGCATTTCCGTATCGGTCAGGTTGTCAGCGTACACGTCTTGAGTTTCGATGTGGAGGCACGAAAACTCTTCGTTTCCTGCAAAGACCCTTCCGCCTTTGGTCTCGACAAACAAAATGCCCTCAAGAAACTCCAGCTCGGAGATGTCGTCTCTGCTAAAGTTGTGCAGAAAACTGAGGACGATGTGTTTGTCGAGTTAACTGACAGCTCTCTGAAGGCCATGTTATCGGTATGGCATCTGGCCGATCGACCCAACAAATGCCAATCTACCTTGAAACACGTCCGCGTTGGACAGACCCTCAACGATCTTGTGGTCCTAGAGAAGAATGAAGGTCGTCGATACATAGCGTTATCGAAGAAGCCTAGCTTCGTCAAGGCGAATAAGGATGGGAAGCTTCTCACATCTTTAGAAGGAGCTAAAGTCGGCGACCTTCGGCAAGGTTTCGTAAGAAATATTACCGCCACGGCAGCCTTCGTCCAGTTCTGTGGTCAGCTTACTGCCTTGCTACCCAAGTCAAAATTGCCCCAGGAAGATCAAAAGAAGACAGACTTTGGACTAGAAAAATACCAACCAATACTTGTTAAGATTGATTCTGTAGACAGAGATCGTGGCAGGATTGTTGCTGCTTCCCCCTTGCTTGAAGATGATAAGGGCTCGAAGAACGATACCTCTACCGTATCGAACAAGATTGAGAACCCGGTGGACGAGACTATTTCCTCGACTGATGATATATTCATAGGCAAAATTGTCAAGGCCAAAATCACATCGGTTAAGAATACGCAACTCAACGTTAAGCTTTCCGACAACATACAAGGCCGTGTTGATGTTTCCCAAGTATTCGACTCCTGGGACAAGATTTCAAAACCGAAGTCCCCATTGAGTACATTCCGAGTGAATAGCACAATTACAGTTCGAGTTTTGGGTGTCCACGATGCCAGAAATCATCGCTTCTTGCCCATATCGCACCGATCAACTCACTCAGTCCTTGAGCTGTCTGCAAGACCGAGCGACTTAAAGAAAGACGCCCCGCAGGTATTATCATATGATAAATTAGAGCCTGGCTCTACTCATGTGGGCTTCGTCAATAATGTTGATCATAATTCCCTTTGGGTAACTCTCTCGCCTAATGTGCGAGGCAGGATCAACACCCTAGAGATATCAGACGACGTTTCTCAACTCGAGAATCTGGCTTCGAGCTTCCCGATCGGGTCCGCGTTAAAAGTTCGTGTTCTCGCAGTTAATGCAGCTGAAGGCCGTCTCGATCTCTCAGCACGCTCCGCAGGCTCGTCAGCGAATCTCACTTGGGAAACAGTTAAACAGAACATGGTTCTTCCTGGTCGGATTACAAAGATTAACGAACGGCAGATCATCGTGCAACTCAGCGACGTTGTCTCTGGCCCTGTGCATTTAATAGACGTTAGTGATGATTACGGCGAAGCAAACACACTTTCCTACAACAAGAATGACATCACCAGAGTTTCAGTTGTCGAAGTCGATAAGAGCAACAAGAAAATCCGGCTCTCGACTCGTCCTTCGAGGGTGTTAAACTCTTCTTTGCCTGTTAAAGACCGCGAAGTCACTAAGGCATCTCAAGTGAGTGTCGGTGATATTCTTAGAGGATTCGTGAAGAATGTCTCCGACAAAGGCTTATTCGTGAGTCTCGGCGGAAATGTAACAGCAATGGTCAAGATCTCAGATCTTTCAGATAGATACCTCAAGGAATGGAAGGACGAGTATCAGATTGACCAGCTTGTCAAGGGCCGAATAATCTCGGTAGATTCCGATACAGGCCATATACAGATGAGCCTCAAGGCTTCAGTCGTCGACAAAGATTTTGTTCCGCTCATCAATTATTCAGACCTCCGTGAAGGCCAAATCATCACGGGCAAGGTCCGAAAAGTGGAGGAATTCGGCGCATTTATTGTCATCGAAGGCTCTGCGAATGTTAGCGGGTTATGTCACCGCAGCGAGATGGCTGAAAAGGCTGTCCAGGATGCGCGAAAGCTCTTTGCCGAGGGCGACATAGTCAAGGCAATCATCCTAAAGCTTGATAGGCAGAAGAAGCGAATAAGCTTTGGCTTAAAGCCCTCATACTTTGAGGATGTAGATGAAATGGATGTCGACGACAGTGACGAGGATGAAAATGCCGGTGCCGCACTATTAAGAGATTCGGACGAGGACGACGATGACGATGACGAGATGGAGGATGCTGGTACCTCTGTAATTATAAGAGGGACCGATAATGATTCAGAAGCAGAAGATACCGACGATGAGGATACTAAAATGGCAGATAAGGAGGGCGACGACATTGCTCCTCTCGACGCTGGCGGTTTTGACTGGTCTACCAATGCGCTTGACAAGGTCGACGGGGCGGATGATGATGCAGACGAAGATGCGAGCGCAACACAGAAAAAGAAGAAGCGAAGAAAGCCGCAAATTGAAGTAGACAAGAGCGGTGACCTAGACGCGTTTGGTCCCAGGACAGCTGTCGACTACGAGCAACTCCTCAACCGCCAGCCCAATTCGTCCGCATTATGGATCGAGTACATGGCTCACCAGATGCAAGTCAGCGAACTCGCCAAAGCCCGCGAGGTAGCTGAGCGTGCCATTACAACCATTAGTAGTACTGAAGAGACGGAAAAGCTCAACACTTGGATCGCCTATCTCAATCTTGAAGTCCGATTCGGCAACGAAGACAGCGTCGACGAAGTCTTCAGGCGTGCTTGCCAGGTCAACGATCAGCAAGAGGTTTACCAACGCTTGGCCAGCATCTACATCCAGGAGGATAAGGCTGGGGTAAGTCGTATTTCAACTTCACTCTTATATACACCAATGCTAATAATACTATAGAAAGCGGATGACCTTTTCCAAACCCTCGTCAAGAAGTTCGGCGCGGAATCACCGGAGGTCTGGTACAACTACGCACACTGGCTGCATGCCGTCCAGAATCAACCCGAGCGTGCCCGAGCCCTTCTACCTCGGGCCACCCAGGCGCTCCCGAACCACGCGCGCTTCCCGCTGATGACCAAGTTTGCAGCGCTCGAGTTTAACTCGCCACACCGGAACCCAGAACTAGGACGCACCATGTTCGAAGGCTTGCTGGCTACCTTCCCCAAGCGCTTTGACCTCTGGAACCAACTGCTCGACCACGAGGATGTACCCGGCGCCGACAAAACTGCCATCCGCGACATATTTGAGCGCGCTATCCGGGTCAAAGGGTTGAAGGCTAGGGCGGCGAAGAAGTGGTTCAAGAGATGGGCCGACTGGGAGGAGAAGAACGGCGACACAAAAAGTAGGGAGAGAGTTAGTGCTAAGGCTGCTGAGTGGGTGAGATCTAGGGCTGAGGCTAAGGCGGCAAAGGAGGATGAGGAAGAGGATGATGATGAGTAGATGGTGTCTTACTTGTCTTTTGCACGATCAAGTATCGGGTTGCTTCATCTCCGCAACATAGGCTATTGTATATGGGTTAGGTGACAACCTATACAATCTTAAGTATATATTTAACAGTGCATAATTCAAAGCATTGATTACGCTGCTGAATATTTCTTACCTAATTAAACCAAGTTACGTTTGCTACTATCCCACCAGGGGTAAAGAAGTACTAGAAGTTATACGGCATGCATCAAGTCAATATACATCTAGACGCGAAGGTGATGTGAACAGCTCTGTTATGAAGATAGCCCTCGACGGGTCTTTTGTCTACCAGATGATCTCCTATCCATCTCTGAATTACATTCAAGCCAATGAACTCCAATGCTCCATCAAAAAGAGAATAAAAAAATAAAAAAGGACATTCCCCCTTCCCATCCTTCTTCCCCGTCTCCCTTCTTCGGAGCCTAGCAGCTCACCCGTGGAATAAGTACATTACTATACGGCTCGTCCTTCGAAACACCACCACCACCAAGATCAGGGTTAAAACATCGATAGCGGAAAAAGCAAGTAGAAAATAAAAAATAAGTATAATAGATAAATTGCACTATACTCCTCCCATCCTATCCCCCACCCGATCGGCCGTGAAATCCATTCGCCGGTTATCCAAATCTAAGCTGGGGATATACATATATATATGTTTGCTTGCTTGTTATGTGCTGTGATGTGATGTGACGGGAATGACGAGGCGTGTCGAGATGTTTGGTCAAGGAGATCCAGTTGCAAAACGCAGGACAAACGAGTTGATACAGGCTGTGCTTCAACAGTCGCCGTTTTAGAGAAATCCCCGTCTTGATTTATGTATGGCTCGGATCGCATCCCCCACGAAGGGAGGGTGGGGGGTCAAATGTGAAACTGCCACGCTTCCTCGTTTCATAACGCATTAGAGGGAACCCCCCCGGATTAGACCCGATTGATCGAGGGACCACATCGGAATAATGATGATGATGGTGGTGTGAGTATTCAAAATTCAAAGATGGCTACTAAAAGGAGGTATATAATATATAATATAGTGATGCTGGAGAAACTAGACTGAAAAAGGGGTAGGGGGTTGGGGATTGGGTAATAAAATGGAAGAGTAAAGATCGGTAGTAATAGATAGTAGTAGTAGTAGTATATAGTGATAAAAATGCCGAGACGAGCCGAAGCTAAGATGATAGTCTCTTCGTTACATCGTATGAAGTTCAGATTCAGATCGCAATGCTGGGTATCGTTTGTAATCGTAATGCCGCACACGAAAGGAAAGAAAAACGTCTAGATCTCTTGGACCCATATCTGTCGATCGTGTTAGCCAGTCTGTAAGTCACTATAAAGGCGAGTTTATACTAATAATAGTGAGAGAAAATAAGAGAGAATGGTAAAATTCTTACCTCCAACTTGCCAATATCCAACCTCTGCTTCCGCGCCATCTGCTTAACACCTATCATGGCGACGTCCAGATCGTCCTGGTCGCCCATGGTAATCATATCCGTCGACTGCGGCACATCCTCGTCGCGCACCTTGAGCTTGAAGCGCCGGCGCAGGCCAAACTTATCCCGGATCCGGTCCACCAGCTCCGAGAACTCGATCGTCGTGCTGACCATGACGTACCGCACGTCTTCCGCGTGCACCTTTATGCGCACCTTGCGGATCTCAGGCCGTCTCGAGCCGCCGCGCGAGGACCCCCCCGCCACGGACGTGCCCGGCCGTCGGCTCGTCACCATTTCGAATTCCCCCTCGTCGAACGAGTCGTAGTCGCTGGCTTCCTCCTCCTCCTCGATGTACCGCGGATTCCGCCGGCTCTGGCCCCGGCCTACACTGCTACCGCCTCCGCCCCCGCCCCCGCTGCCGCCCCCGTACATGTCGTACACATCTTCCGGGTATCCGTCGTCCTCGTTCCTCGAGCGCCGCATCCGGGGCTGCTCCGCGCGCGAGAAGCTGCGCGGCGGCGACCTCATCTCCGACGCGGACCTGGACGGCGCCTTGCGCTCGCTGCGCGGGGAGTTCATCTTGTCGTAGCGGTTGCTCTTGGACGGCTCGGGGATGTTGAGTCGAGCGGGCATCGGCTTCGGGCCGTTGCGGACGGAAGCGGCGCGGGTCACGGCCGCGGGCTTGTCGTTCTCGGGCGGCGGCGTGGGAGGGAATGCGTTGCGGCCGGCGGGTGGTTCCGACTGTTGTCGCTTGCTCTGCAGGCCTGGTTTGACGAGGTTCGTCGCCGCGAACGAGATGTTATCTGCCGGACGGTCGTCCTTCTCGACTGCCCTTCCGGCGTTCTTGATCTCTGATCCGGCGAAGCCCGTGAATGCGTTCGCCCTGTCGGAGGCGGCGACTAGACGGGCTTTTCCTAGGTAGTCCTTCGTCTTTAAGTTTCGCACCTTGGCCTCGTTGGGCCGGTATACAACTCCCACGGGGATGGAGAATACAGTATAGCCCTATAGAGCGTTAGTATCTAGTTGAAGAAAATTCCGAAAATAGAAGAAGAAAAAATCGCACCTCGGCCTCTTCCCTAATAGCCTCGTCGATAACATTGTGGTCCTCGACAACCTTCTCCTTCACCGCGAAATTCAGATCCTGCAAACCCGCGTCCTTCTGTTGCAAGTAGATATAGCAGAGACCTCGGTTGAACAGCACCTCGCAAGAGTACAGTTTGAACAGCAGACCCAGTTGCGCGTAGTCGATCATCGTATTGCCTCGGAGATATAGCAGGGTATCGTTGAAATTCGCCAACGCCTCTTCGAAGTCGCCGAGCAGGAAGTTAGATACACCCTGCTGGAAATAAGCCACGGCAAGATATTGATCTAGCCGGATCGCCCTCTGGTAGCATTCGACCTAGGAGCGGGAAAGTTTTAGTATTCCAAAACGTGGATTAACTTAGGGTAGGTTAGGTATGTTAGGTAGCTTACAGCTTTCTCGTGCTCTCCTAGCGTCGCATGTATAACACCCATGTTAAACAGAATCTTGGACGTATCCGAGATGTTGTCGAATTCCTTCAGCGCCTCTTCGAATTCATTGTTGTCATATCGACTCAGGGCCGACACCCACGATTCTATCTCCTAGATGGAGCATTAGCAACTCTATGCTCTTAAACGCACGCCACCATTCCTCTAAACATCGACCTACCTGCTTTAAAGACATTGTGTCGCCGGGATGAGCCTTGAATTAGTACCAATTGCTTTGTCCAGAAAGCAAAGGTGGAAGGGGGCCGCTCCTTGCGGCGATACTAATGCCTAGAATTTCGAGTCGCCCCTTTTTGTTCGTATCCAGCTCAGCCTTGGATTGTTGGTCTTTGCGTTGTTTGGCCAAGGCCAGAATGTTGATATTTTTTTGGTCTTTAATCACACTTATTCTACTAGTCTCCTGTGCCCTAATAGCCACTCTCCCCTCTTTGAATTTCCGCGTGCTAATAATAATCTTGGCAGTAAGTAATATAGCGGACTGGTTGGGTCCTTTATTAGGAAAGATGCGTCTTGTAACAGCTTGAAAATCGGAATCCCTTCTTTCGCAATTGGGGTCGGTTTAGATGAGAGCCTAGCTACGGGCTACGGGCGGCGTCCAAGTTCGGCAAAAAAGAATGGACAAAAAAAGGTCGGGGGGGTGTTGGTGGGATATGTAGGTACAGACGCACGATGGCCACGAGCCAACGGGGTGGGACTTGTGTCGATTACTCGATTACTCGATTACTCGATTAGACGTATTGAACTTATTAGTTACCTAGAAAGGTAGCTGGGTAGATAGACTAGGCCGGTTTCTTCGCACTGCGCTGCAAGGATTGGATGGAGTGACTTGTAGTTTTTGCAATTCTTGCAAACGAGAACAAGTAAATGAGTGGATGGATGGAACGACGACGAAGCCAGCGCGTACAGAAGGGCTAAGAGTGGGTGAAGGGCGAAAAAGACAGTGACAGGCGAGGACGAGACCTTGTGCCAAGCGAAGCATTGGACTGGACGGAAAAGACTGGTAATTCTGGGTCCCTTTTTTTGGTCAGAGTTCCGAACCAGCTGGGATTAATAGTAAGGTTTATGTGTATTATTTGAGTATTATTTGAGTACGTACTTATTTCTCAAAAAGCTCTTACTATGTAATGAGACCCCGGCTTTGCTTTGGGCGATTGTGATGCTTGTGGACACGGAGCGCCCTCTTTGCGGGCAGCCAAAACGACGATGATGCTTAACCAGGGTCCAGACTGTAGGGAGAGACAGGGGTAGGTACCCTAGGTATGTACCTAACCTATCTTCTCAACCGAGGGCTTGGACTTGGACTTGGACTTGGGACTTGTGCGTTTAGAAAAGCTCGGAGGAGGAACTTCCAATGAACGCCGGCCGCCCGTCCCTTTTTATTCCGCTTCAGATGTGAGGGTTGCAAGAAGTTGGTTGGCATTCGGAAGTTTAGCTTCTTAACCTGTCGTTCGACCTGTCATGATCAAGCAAACAATATACAGCTCAATATGTTCTTAGATTGTCTCATCTAAACACAACTCTGCTGGCGGCCAGGGCGCCTACAAGTAGTACAGCCTCATTAACAAGCGCGCAGAGTATCTAGGTAGTCAACCGACTCCTTCGCGCCATCGATACTAAAATTGGCCGCCTACGGACGTACCAACATCTACAAACAATGAAGTTGATCGCACAACGTATAAGTTGTTTATAGATCAGGAGGATGGTGGATGAAAATACTAGGAGGTAGTACCGTCTCAAGACTAACTTGGTCGTCTATTTTACCTTCCTTCGTTTACCCCTTGGATGATTAACGCCAGTTCGTTCTATCGAGCCATCTTCACAGACGCCTTCTTAAGAAGATCCCGTTATAAATGATATAGTATACTCACAACCACCACCAACATTCCCATATACGTATTCTACATACCTGTCAGTGATTAGTAGTATGTATATGTAACTTCTTCAGCAGAGTGAGCATCAAGCAGCGTATGTAGTATGGCAAAAGTAGCAACAGTCGTCGATATTAATCCTAGTCTCTTACTCTTTTGGTCCTTGGGGTTGCAACTTGGAACGGACCCTGTCTCTCCTCGTGCAGCAAGTGTTCCAAAGCGTCGATTAAGGGGGAATGATTGGTCGACGGGATTCGGCAAAGCCCCCACAGTGTCGGACTCCAAGGCGTTTCCAAGGGCGCCTAAAATCTGAATCGAGCCAGTCAGTGCTCTAGGTCATGTACAATGTCTTGTTCGTCTCATTATTTCCTTCACAATTCTTATTACAACGCCTTCGAATCAACAAGCTCCGTGCCCGAGCTGTCTAACCTACATAGTAGATGCATAGCTCATTGTGCCCAAGTGTTATGCTATCTCGAATCCGGAATAGGCAATCTGTATATATCGTAATTCTTCTCTTTTACCCCAATCGGTGTTGTAAGGATCATATCTACGCGCCGACAAGCCTTCTAGTTATCTTCAGCACAATTCGTCACTCGCAGTAATGCATGTGATGCTCTCTCATAACTCGAGGTCGGAGGATTAAACGAAGGCTTGTCATCGATTAGGTATACTATATACCATACTATGCCTGTTCCGTACATGTCAAGCATGTAAAGTCGTTACCAAGCTCAACTTGATGCCTGCTAGTCATCTCATCTCTCCATATGCACGATGCAATCGGACGGCGTGCTACAATCTCACCTTCCGAGAGGCCCATTCCAGTTGTTCATTGTTCCGCTATGATATTTCAGAATATCCATCCCATCGTAGCGGGTTCTATGTAGCTCCCCGGTCTTAGATAGCTCTACACCATCTCTACAAGACGCACGTCATTACGAATTAGTGTCAGCTGAAGAATTGTTGAAGACACAAAACTGCTGGATTGCATAGTAATATATCAAGTTTATTGCGAAACTCGCTTCCCTCCAATACGTTTGAGGCAGTCTTCCTACCCTTAGTCTTGACAACTATTAGCTGGGTATCTGTTAAAGCGAGTAGCATAGGTACCCGCCTAAGTAGTCAGGCTCGGCATAAAGAGCAGGGCGGGTGTTTGATGATCCTCGAATCTCAGAAAGTCCGTGTTATTCAGAAACCCCTGGACCCACGGCATCTGTGATCTGAACCTCCTTGACGGATCAGATCTCTAGAGCCTCAACGAATGCTGCCTACTACTACACGGGTAATGTTTTGGAAAAAAGGAAAAGAATCGAAACTAAAGCGATCCTCCTTTGATCCTCTAGGCCCTGCTTAGACAGTGCAACGTCCGTGTTTTCAATAGCTATGCCCGTCATACATTAGGTAGTCGAGCGTAGCATACCGATCTCAATAGCTTGGTGCTTGTTGATCCTTCGCCCGCGGGTAATTATGTACTTTATCGAATGGGTTAAAGAGGTTGCATGTGCTAGCCATATGCCAGATATTTCTCTATCCCACTTCTTTTCCGTCACAATCACAATCACAAATTTTCTTCAACGGCACTTTGAAATGGGTAGTAGGCAACCTTTTTATCTACTATCCTTGCTCCATACGACCTCCGCCGGCAGGTACCGATAACTGGGATGCCATACTCTTTTACCTAAGTGAGTGCGTTTGAATTGATCTTATCTGTCTCATTCCACGTGTCCCCGGTCACCGCTAAGTGGGACTCTCGGCACTCTTGTGACAAGGTCTGCATTAAGAGGTGAGCGCTATGTTCGTGTATTAGATAACTCCGTTGTAGGAAAGTTATCTGAGGTTAAAACTTGGTGTTGATGATGCGGTCAGTGAGTTGGGTTCAAGGCATGGGGGATGAAGACGGGTATGATCATGGCGGAACCAACCGCTCAACCTCTCCTCATTGTACATATGTTGTGTAAATTGCCAACAGCCGGGGCCCCGGAGTCGGCCACGAAGCCAAGCCTTTCGTTCTTCAGCCATAAAATGTCAGATATGGACTTGGCTTTGGATAAACCCCTACCCACGACTTCTCCGCGCGCCGCCGGGAAGAAAGATCATGATCACGCCGTCTCGTTCGATGATCTATCATTCTTCAAGTCTTTCTCCACGATTATCGACTATCTTCAACGTTTTCGTCGATGCGAGAAGGAGGTATGTAAGACCGGGACAGCCATTGCGACTTCGTCCCTACAATATTTCGTTTGGTTCTGTGACCGCAGTGGTTGACGTAGGAACGATGTCCCAAGGAGGTAATCCTTGGCGGTCCTTCATCATGAGATTCTTTAAATACTCCTGGATTGTGTGGCGCCACCATGGGTCGGTTCATGGTGCCATCGCCCAAAGGATACCACACGATCCATTGAACCCTTCTGGGCACGCAAATTCGGCATCTTTATCCCGAGCCCCTAGATATGCTGACTAGATCTGCCCGCGCTGATAAGGAGCGTTTCTTATGTATGTATTCAAATAAATCGAATGACATGATCAGAGCAGATCTGTCGTCTGATTTCATGTAGCGTCGTCCAATGTAAACCTGTCAAAGTGACTGCCGAGCTGCCATAATCAACAGTGAATAGCTACCAATAACAACATTGCATATTGTGCTATGACGAATGGTTTCTTTGCCGTCTGAATAAACTTGGAATAGTTGGACCCTGAATGTCCCTGCATAAGGGACCGACAGGGGAATTATACATAAACGCTGTCAACGTCGAGACACATAGATGTAAGAATAAACGGGATCTTGAACAAGCCGGGCACCCCTGGGAGACCCGATTCGACGAGACTTGAACCCCAATTGAACTTCCAAAGTTGCTTGCTTTCTATGTATCAACGGTGTTTATTGGATACCAATAGTCTTTGCGAACAATCCCCACTCCAATACACGTTGCCGGATCCAAAACCTGTACAGAACCAGTTCAAGTCTTAGATCATACCTTTCTTTACCTCGTCCTTCCTTTCCTCCCAGAGTGTCTTTCCGGTGCACGAGCATACTGTCTTATCATTGTCCCACATGCCGGCACTCCTCGCAATAACACCGACGACAGTGTTTTCATCATTGCTCAGATTCGCTTCCGTGATCCCTTCCTGCTGGCTAGAAACGACCATTGCGTGACCAATCACTTCCCAAACCTGGAAGGGATGGTCAAAGAATACTGCGCCCCGACCATCCTTTCCGATCTGTATAGTACCTAAGATCCCCCGGGGTTGCGTTGTGCCACTCCCGCCTGCCCATACCGGACCCGTAGATGTAGCACCGAACTTGAGGTCGCCGTATTCTCTTATGCTGGCCGAGTATGTACCAGGCTTAACTCCACGGATAGTCAGGTCCACTAGAGTTATCGTAGGAGAGACTTGGACCATGCGAGCTAAACCCCTGACTTCCCTGTCATTTATTCCCGATCCTTCCGTATCTGCCTCCGGAGCAGAAGCAGGCACCAATGCATCACCACCCTTCTCATTGCGGTGATACGTTTCGAGGATGCACACAGCTGCGCCTAAGAGGATTTGTATCAGCTAGGTAGAAGAGCCAAATAATTATCGTATCGAATTAGGAGATCCGGAGCGCAAGCCGGCTGCTTCGGTGAAGCTCGGCATGAAGTAAAGGAGATTGGTGACCTTCTCCGTGCGGCCTTAAAGTAACGACCGATACTTTGCATAAATCTAAATAGAAATATACAAGGTAATATATAAGGAAAAGGAAATATAATATTTCACTTACTATTCGAAGCACCTGACCCTCTTAGAATAGCATCCCGACCTGTAGCTTCAATAGCGCTAACAATTGCGGACGGAGCAGCTGTTTAAGGAACATGTTGTGTTAGTCTCAGATCGAGATCTTTCATTCAACTATGTAGCCTCTCTTGTGTATGGATTCATCTTACCGGTTCCTTCTACTGATACGAGCTGCTTCTCTAAGTCGGCTTCGACCTTAGTGATACCTCCGAGTTTATATAGCGCATCCGAAACATCTTTGACACAACCGTCACAGGTCATCGGCACAGCGAATAAGGTCTATATAATTTGTTCATGTTCCTATTAGCTTATACTGCCTTGAGCTTGATAGATAATATCTCTTTCTCTAAGACTACTGATAACGACTAAGGTACCTATAGCCATGAAAAAAAAGAAAAAAAACGTAGATAGACGGACCTGAAAAGGAGTCTTGGCCTGATTATGAACCGTCATCTTGTCGCTGGTAGCAATAGGATATCCGGTAATATGAAGGGAAGTTTCTCGCTGGTTACGGTGATAATAAGACTCGGCAGCGACGCCAAGGAAGAAATAGCCAGTACCCGTAGCAAAGGAGCGAAATGATATACCGTGCAAATATTTCAGCATCATATGCTCCGAGGCAGAAGAGGGGATGAAGGAAGCTTCATAGTATTACTATCGATCCGATCCTGTAGAAACGGCTGGAAGCCATTCACTTACACGATAGAAAACCCACTTTTTTTTTTTTTAAATACCTTAACTAAATAGGCCAATAAAATGTAATAAGCAGGACTTTTTGCTTTGAAATCGCAATTCCTTTCTCAGTATTGATCCGATTCTTCTTAGATACAACTTTAGGTAGATGCGGGCTCGGTCCTCGGTGCTTGCGACTGGCGTCACAGGTACCTATGTATTTATCGCAATGCGCTAAATAAATGATATCGCTTATCGATAGGCGGGGAAACTTAGATCTCGGTCCCTTGTTGCACACGTGACTCCTAGAATATCGAATTCTGCTATGTATCGCACCTTAAACACCTGCAAATCCAATAAACCCTGAAGCCGCGAATTCGGCGACAAACGTGCCATTGCAGCACCATAAAGGGTCCTCTAGATCATACATGCGCCCCTCGTCGAGGCCATCGAGCATTTAGACATATATACCTTGACGACGAGGGGCTAAAGCTCCCTCGAGAGTCGTCACCATGTCGCAGACTGTCGGGCTGGTAAGCTCCCCTTCCAAACTCGTCGAAGCGGCATAGCGAAGACTCACAAAGTATACTCTCCGAACAGACGAAACTAGCCTACTCGCGAGTATGGCACCACATCTCCGCCTCGGCGCCACACCCGACGCTCTCCACGCAACCGAACGTAACCCCGCCATCTCTAGGCCGTCTAGCCTCGCGCATCGCCGTGATCCTCATGGGCAAGCACAAGCCGATCTGGGACCCGTCGACGGACTGCGGGGACTACGTGGTAGTAACCAACTGCGCGGCCCTGCACGTCACCGGCCGCAAGATGTGGCAGAAGACGTACTACCGACACAACACGCGGCCCGGCTCCCTGCAGTCCGTCACCATGGACGTGCTCATGGCCAAGCACGGCGGCGCCGAGGTCCTGCGCAAGGCGGTCAGCGGCATGCTGCCGAAGAACAGGTTACGGGATAAGAGGCTCGCTCGGCTGAAGGCGTTTGAGGGCGACGCGCACCCGTTCAAGAAGAATTTGATACGGTTTGGTGGTGTGGAGGTGGGCAAGGAGGGCTGGGGCGAGGCGGTTAAGGCGATAAGACAGGCGGGTGCGGAGAGGTTATAGCGGAATGTTGCTCTGGCGGAAGCCTAGGGGATATGAGCATGAAGGAAGGCTTACGGGCGAGAGAGTGAGCGGACTTTGCCAGGGGAATACTGGCTCTGCATATCTGCTATGTACTACATCGTATGTGTATAATGAATGCATCTCATGACAACCAACTTGATGAGTGGTCAAGAAACAGGTACACCTAGGTATATCACAAGCCGTATATTCGTTTAGAGTGCAAGGGTGTTGCTTAGACCAACTGCGGCTAGGAGTAAATCAAAATCGTGGGAATGGGCATATATATAAATGATATTTAACAACACATTTCTAGGCACGAAGAGGATTTCACGAAATTTAAGGTCTTATCTTGAGATGGTATCTAGATACTCGTTCCGATGCAATAACAACTTGATAACCCGGCTAGAATCCCATTTCCCCGATAATTACGGATTTAAAAAACCAACAATCGCAACCCCGCGCATTACGCCGAAGACATGATACAAATCTGTATAATAATAAAGAATAGCGTCTACGAGCGCGAGATTTCGACTTTTATCAAACCGTTGGGTCCGGACTGCGGCGCGTATACTTCGGCGTCCTTGCCCGTGTTCTTAAGACCCTTGTGCCAGGATAGATCTGTGAAAGCGAATATGGTTAGAAGCTGGCTGGTCTAACATTGATTGTTAATATAATAGGGGATAAGTAGACTTACCGATTTCAAAGTAGTGCTTGTTGGGCAGCGCGTAAGTGACCGACTTGACCTCAGGCGCGGCCTCGAGGATCTGCTCGCCCATTTTGTACATGGTATGCTGGACCGAAGGACTGCTCTCTTCGGCAAAAGTCTTCATGGTGATTCTACGGGCGTCTTCCCAGGCCTTGTCGAACTGGGCTACCTTCTGCTCGACCGCCGCCACGCTCGGTAGAGTGTTCCAACTCCAAGTGGCGTCGACGTCGGTCGAGAGGATGCGATCCCAGGTCTCGGGGAGTGTGGTGTACTCATCGCGAATGAAGCCGTGGAAGGCGGACCCGGTGCTTTTCAGCACCAGGAGCCCCGCGATGCCGCTCGTGAGCTCGATTCCCTGGCGGGTAATACGGGCTTCGACGTTGCGAGTCTCCTCGCCGTCGCGGTAGAAGCTGTGAGGGTGCTCCTTTCCGTCGATGATCATGCGGGTCCACCGCTTTACGGCTATGCTGATGTTGGCGGCGTGGATGTGGGCGTATTGGTCTAGGAAATGCTGTCCCAAGTAGCTGGCGTACAGTTCCGGCGGGTTCACGGGGTGCTCCTTGGCCTTGATGTAGATGGTGTTCTTCATGGAGTCGGTGGCCACGACGACGCTATTGTCCGCCACCGTGTACGACGATTCGATGTCCCCCTCGAGTAAACAGCATACGACCATCTCCGTGACCGTGTGCGTACCCGTTGCCTCGTCCCTATGGACTTTGTACACGCGGACATTGTCCTTTCCGTACCGAGCTGCTGATACGACGGGCATGGTGGAAAGAGTGTGCTCTTCTGTTTTTCTTATTCTCCTCGCTCTTGCTTATTATGATTTACGAAGATTATGAAATCCGTAAAAGTTAAATATTCCGAAACCTTTTGGGGGGATGCCGATAACCTTGCTTTATAAGGGATGGCTTAGGTGCAACGTGATGCAGAATGTTAGAAGGCGAATCTATCCTGTACAATTGTAATCAAACGAGACAATTGGATACTAAGTAAGAATAATAATAAGAAGAAGAAGAAAAAGGAAGTCGTGAATCATTGGCCGAGTCAGTCTACAGAAGAAGGAAAGAAAAGAACGCGGTGTAAATGGAAAGGGAGAAACAAGACAACGTATTTATATACATCCGATCTAAAGTGAGCTATGTATGTATGTAAAGGTAAGGAAGGTATTTTACCTCGGACCTATGTCTCTTGTACGTTGGAGATACTTCAGCTTTTTCCTAAACTCCAAGCCACCAAACGAAGCTATGTACATACTAACCTTCTGACCTACACTTACTAGACTACCGACCCTCCATCCCAAATCGAGCTGCATACGTAACCTGAATAGGTTCATATGAGGATGCAGGGACGTAGTAGTCTACGCAGATCCGGGTCCTGGACAGTCCCGGATTTAGCTGCTCGACTGGGCAGCACAGCAGGTTGTTGGCTCTCTGCAGATCGGAAAGCGCCTGAAGCGGATGCATACGGCATTGCATATGTACATGCCTCATGCCTCATACATACATACATACATTCATAGGTACGATACATATGATATAATACAAAGGTGCGCAAAGCTCATGCCCGCTGGTCACCGATAAGAGGAGTACCGCAAAATGTAACTATGTAGTTGGTGACACAAGAACGGCGACGGGATGATGGAAGAAAAGGAGGGGACTTTAGGGGACTTCCTAGTAAAAAAAAGAAATGGCGTAGAATGGACCCAGTTAACTAGCTTCGGATGGGTCTCAGAAGCTAGGTACCTAAGCTTGCTAGCTTGCTTGCAGTTGCTTTACGGCAAGCTTTTACCCCCAAATGACCAATAATAATGCATCGTTCCCATTGGCGACTTTTTAGCTGCTCGATACATCATACCGTACCTTACGGAACCCGCCGACTCCCCTACACCCCCAAAGGCCGACTCCTACCGTAATCGGTACTCAGCTACCCTACCTAACCCAAGTCCGCTTACATACATAGTACATACCTCTCTAGCTTCTTATCTGTCCGGTCTGTCTTACCCTTTTGCTACCGATATCACTCTTCTTGCTTGGTGCTAATGTAGGCAACATGCGGTCTAGATTTCTAATCTAGATTTTGTTGCGGGCTGATGTCATTCTAAGACCATCCGGGAAGTGTTGCTGAGTTGCGAAGCGAGTTTATGTTCGATTTATATTCTAGAGTATTTCACTGATTAACTTCCTAAACTAAATCGTTCACTCGGCTTGTGCTAACTATCATGCTTCTACTTAGTATAACAGGTAGTTATTGAGAGGAAACTTAAATAATGTGGTCAAGTGTTTACAGACGTATCTGCGATAGTTTGCTAATCTGCCGAGTTTCCATGTTATCCAAGCTTGTGAGACTCTGACTCTTGATAGGTATATGTAACCGGTGAATAAAAGTCGTTTGCCGTTGGAAACGACTGCGGGTGAGAAACATTATCCACGCCGGTCAAGCTTCTACATGCCACAACTAATATACTCGTGGTCGAAATCTAGCCCCTCAATCGAATATGTAAAGGAGACTACCCCCACGGAGGCGGTCTCAGGACTCACGTCTAACGACCTGGGGTATAGAGATCCGAGGGTAACACAATACACATCATACACCGCGCTCGTTACCACTCATCTCATAGTGAAGCTGACTGTGATTGTAACTCTCATATCGGACTAGGATGTTCCCTGTGTTGTTAATATATACATACCTAGGTAAGTATATAACCCATTGCCGTGACGTATATGCGTCGATGATGGGTTCGTAATCAATGAAACTCACAATTGTCCGCTTCGATGAAAAGCACGTCAAAGTTGTTTCTGAATAATGCTGGATTATATGGAGGCTAAATATAGAATCGCTAAGGCTGAAAATAGACAGGGGTGTTTTATATATTCGGCCTTTCATCAAGCTGCTGACGCCAACCTTACCCCAATCCAAAGAACTGCAGCTTAGCTCTTTCTTATATGGTAATTTCTACTTCGTAATGATACTATGAAACTGCCCTAGCTGAAGCTGTCAGGTCTCATATAAATGATCTGCACAGTATGCTAAAGCGCCGCTCGAAGAATATTGCCCTTCGATGGCAAATCATCTAGCTCCCCCCTATAAGCTAATTTATACAATTACCTATGCTGGGTTTTATGATCTGTCATGCCCATAAGAAGAATCTCTCTTAATATGGTAGGTCAAGATTTGGCTGACGACTTTTACGTCCTAGCTCCCTTAGTCATTTAGCAAGCTCAGGGGCTGTATTTACACAATGATTGACTAGAGTTCTATGGACAGGACGCTAATCCACCTTACATTGCCTAATGATCTAATATGGAAGGTCGTATTCGAATAGGTAACGTCGGGGCTTCGTGTTGGGTATATATATATGAATGTTGAACTACCCAGGCTAGTATACAATGTCTCAAGTCCTACCACAGAAGTCAAGCTTGCTCTTCATCACACTATAAAGAAGATCTAGCACACCCTTCTCGCTATGTATATCTCTAAGATCGCGGCGCTTGCGCTTCTTGCGCCTTGCACGCTTGTCTCCGCCACTCCGGTCTTCAAGAACCACGGAACACTAGATGGATGGGATGGGACCAACCACGAACATAAAGGAACCGTAACTCAGGTCGACAACGTGTCTTACAACTCAGGCTCGTCGATCAAAGTGGTTCAGATATACGACTCTGGCTACACTGGCAGATACCACTCGGAAGTCTACAAGAAAGACGTCTACAAAGTCGGCGACGAGGGGTTCTACGGCTTCGCTTTCAGGCTGCACTCAACTTGGGACACCTCGTCCAAGCAATCCTACAACATCGCGCAGTTCATCAGCAACCTGGAGGACAACCCCGACAACACGTGCGGGGATGGCTTCATCCCCTCGATGATGATGTGGGTCGAGGGCAACGAGCTCAAGATCCGCAGCAAGGGCGGCAACATGTGCGATAGCACCCTGAAGAAGTTCTCGGTCGGCACGATCAAGCCGGGGTCTTGGCACCGCGTCGTCCTCCAGGCCAAGTGGGAAAGCGACAGCTCGGGCTACTACAAGGTCTGGTTCGACGGGAAGCAGGCGCTGGAGGAATCGGGCATCATCACTACGTACAGGGACGCGCAGAAGAAGTACGGCTTCCAGTTCCGCACCGGCTTGTATGCCAATAGCTGGCACGACGACAAGCGCATGGATGGAAGCCAGGGCACCCGACAACTGTGGATTGATGAGGTTGCTATCGGAAACAAGTATGAGGATGTGGACCCCGGGGTTCAGCAGTAATCGTGTGGTAATTGTAGGTTGTTTCGGATGGCCTTTTTATAAGATGTTTAATGATTTGTTAGTTTCGGCAGTTAATCAGAATGTTATATATATATATAATCCATGGCTTTGTTAATTTCTTGAGCTGTTCAATGGTTCAAAGAGATGGGAGATAAGATATAGTTGAGTGCACGCATATCCGGGGTATAATTAAGACTAGCCAATAGGAGTTGTCATAGAATAAGGAATAGGGTAGGTAACTACATAGCTATGATTATAATTTATGGTCTATGAATACACCTAAGTCAGAGTTAAAAATAAAATAAAAATAAGATTATCACTAGACACCTAAAGTATATGACATACTTATGAAAGGGGTAGATACCTCTTATGTTTCTCCTATTGTATCACTACTGGAGAACGTGTCGCAGTAGCAAAGTTTAATATAAGTTTTAATATTAAGTATTATAGCGGGAAAATATGCTACCGTAAAACTATTGCATGTATGTTTAACCATTACTCCACCTTTTAAAACTTATTTATTATTAACCTTTATAATACATATTATTTCCATAAATAATATTAATTTTATAATTATTATTATATAACGTAAATTATTGTTTTATATATTTAAACTTTTTAACGTTATATTAATTTTTAATATTACGTTAATTTTTATTATTACGTTAATATTTAATATTACACAGTTTTAATTATTAAAAAATTTATTTAAAATTATTAACTATTATATTTTAAAATATTATTATATTATTAATAAATATTACGTTTATAATAACCATTAATAAAAATTAACTATTATTTTATTTATTTAAAAATATTTATTATTATTTTTTTAATTTTTATATAGTTTTTATTTATTATTAATTTTTTTATTATTATTATATATATATAATTATTTTTATTTTAATATATATTATTTTTTAAATTTTTATAAAATTTTTATTTATTATTAATTATTTTATAATTATTATTTATAAATAATTATTTTTTATTATAATAAATATTATTTAATTAATAAAAATTATTAAATTATTATTTTTATAATAATTATTAATTTATTATTTTTTCGTTTTTATTAATTATTTTTTATAATAAACTAAGTATATTTTTAATAATATTATTAAAAATTTTTTTTAAAATTATTTATTAATATTTTTTTAATTTATTATAAATATAATAATTATTTAATTTATTATTATTATTTATTTTATTTTTATTATATATTTAATTACTTATTTAATCTTATAATATAATTATTAAATTTATATTAAAATTTATTAAAAGTAATTTACGTTTTTAATAATTTAATTTAACCATTTTATTAAACCATTTATATATAATATAATTAAAAATATTTAACGTTTTATTTATTAAAATAATAATAAAAAAATTATTTTAAAACTATAAATTAATTAAATATATAATATATTTAATAAAAATTTAAAATAAAATAATTTTACTTTTATTTGGTTAAAAGATATAAAAGCCTTATTTTTTACTGGTAAAAAAACATTATAATATTTAATTATAACTTTTTTTTACAAATATATCCCATTTATTAATATTATTGTAATTATACCATTAAATTTAACCTTTATTTATTTTATTTATATATATAAAAATAAAATTTATAAAAAAGATATTTATAATTTATTAATTAAAATTTAACTATTTATTTAAAAATTTATAAATATATATAATGTAATTATTATATATTTCACGCGATAATATAAACTTATTTACTTTTTTAAAAATTTCTTAATTATTTTTTTATATTATTTAAATAATAAATTTATTAATTTAATTTTATATTTTATTAAAAAAAAAACGTAATTTTTTAAAAATTATTACCAAAAGTTTAAACCGTTTTTAAATTTTTAAAGTTATTTTAATTTTAATTATATAAATATTATATTAAAATATAAAATTTATTTTTATAAATATTACATTATAAATAACTTTTATTTTTAAATAATTAGTATAAATATTATAAATTTTTTAAAATATATAATTTAAATAATTAATAATTTTTTTTTTAATTAATTTATTATAAAATATAATGTTTAAATCATTATTTATTAATTATATTTAAAATTTAAATCACTACTTTTTAACTTAATATTAAAAATATTTAAAAATTTATAATCTATTATTATATTTATATTATTTTTTAAAATTAATATTTAAAAATTATTAAAATAATTAATATTTATTATTTAAATAATATAAATATTTTTTTTATTATTATATATAATAAAATTTTTTTTATTAAATGTATTTTTAATTTTTAAAATTTAATTTAACTTATTTTTAATTTTATATATTTTATTTAATAATTTAAATCATATAATACTGTAATAAAATCTTTAAAATTAAATTTTTAAAATAATTTTTAAATAATATTTTTAATATAAAATTAATAATATAAAAAAAAATAAGTAAAATAAGTTTATTATAATAATTATTTTACCAAAAAATATAAAAATATAATTTATAAGTTATAATATAAATAAATTTAAATTTTATTATAATTAAACCAAAAATAATTTAATTTAAGTTTTTTTTTAAACATTATTAAACGTTAAAAATAATTTTATTTTTATTATAAAAAGGTATATTTGACAATTTTTCCTTTAATTAAAATTAGCTATTTAGCGCCGGCATTAACTAAATAAAATAATATTATAAGTAAATAAAAATTAAAAATAAAAAATAAAAGATTTTTTATATTAAGTAAAATTTTAATTTTAATTTTTTAAAAAATATTTTAAACGTTTAAAATGCCATAAATATACTGTTATAACTATTTAATTATAATAAATTAATAAACGTTAATATTATTATTATTATTATTATAAATAAATATAAATAATATTTTTTATATTTATCCCTTTTTTTAATATTTAAATTTAAATATATATTATATTTATTATATTTAATTTATTACCTTTTTATTTTTATTTAAATAAATATAATTATTATATTAAAGATTTAATTTTATAATAACTTTATTAATAAAATTTAATAAAAATAACTTTAACTTTATTTTATAATTTTAAATTTTTTATTTTTATAACTTTTATTTTATAAACTTTTTAATTTTATAAATAATATATATTTTTTTATAAATTTAATTATATTTTTAATTTAATATATTTTTTTAAGTATTTATTAATATAATTTTAAACTTTTTATTTATTTTATTTATAATCTTTAATGTTTTTTATTTTTATATATTATATTTTAATAGTTAATTATTTATTAATAAAATATATTTATATTAAATCTTTATTATTTTTAATATTTTATATAATTAATTAAAAATTTAAATATTTTTTATTTAATATTATAATTTAATTTATTTTTATTTTTTTTTATTTTTATTTTTTTTTTTTATTTTATATTTATTTATATATATTATAATATTAATAAAAGTATATATTAAAATAATATATATTTATTTTATTTAATTTATTATTATTATTTTTATATTTTTTTCTTTATTTATAATTATATTATTGTTAATTAATTTTTATTATTTTATTTATATTTATTTATATTTTTTTATATATTTAATTTTAACGTTATTTATATATTATATTATAAAAAAATAATATTTTAAAGTAAGTTTTTATTTTAAAATTAAATATTTATTAATATATAATTTATATATTTAAATAGTTAATAAAAAAATATCTTTAAAAAACGATAATAAATCTTTATAAAAAATTTTATTATATATAAAAAAAATTAATAAATAATTTAAAAATATTATTATAAATTATAAAAGGTAAATATTTTTATAATAATTAATTACCGATATTTTATTGTTTTATTTTTAATATTAATAATATTAAATATTTAAAAAATTTATACCATTTATTAAAATTATATTAAAATTTAACCTTATTAATATTAATCCTAATTTTATTAAATTATAATTAAATAACGATAGTATTTTCTTTTTATTTTTTAACTGCATTTTATAATTTTTATTAATTATATATTAACATTTTATATTAATATTAAATAATAATATTTATTTATTTTCTTTATCGTTTTTTTAATTACGTAATAAATGTTATAAAATTAATTATTTATTAATTTATTATTTATTATTTTTTAATAATATTATCATATAAATTATATAATGGTTTAATAAAATGGTACGTTAAAAATTTATGTTTATTTTTTAAAATAAATTCGGTTAAAAATTTATAAAGTAATATTTCTTACAGTTTTATTTATTATTGTTTACGGAATTAATATTAAAAAATTAATATAATTAATTTATATTAATATATAATTTAATTAAAAAAATTAATGGTAAGAAATATTTATTTAATTTTAAAATTTAATTAATTTTATAATAACTTATTATAAATAATAATAAAATTTTATTTTAAATATTTAAATATAATATATTAAATTAAAATTTTATTATAATATTAAATATTAATTAATTAAATAATATTTGTAATATAAAATTAATGGTTTATTTAATTTAATTTTTAAATATTAAAAACCATTATAAAATAATAATGTTTGATTTTAAAAATTAAAATTAACTTTTTATTAATTTATGGTTTATATATTATAAAGTTTAATTTAATTTAATTATTTAATAATTATATAAATAATTTATTAAAAACGGGTTAATTTTAAATAAGTTTAAGGTTAAATTTATTTAAAATTAAAATTTTATTATTTTTATTATTAAATAAATAAATTTATAAATTTGTGGTTTAATTATTATTAATTTTATTTAAACATTTATAAAAAAAAAATTAAATAATTAAATTATATTATATAATAAGATAAGATTTAAATAATTAATGATATATTAATAATTAATATGGTTTTATTATAAATTAAGCCATATATTTAATACTTTTATATATAAGTTTTATATTTTAAATATAACTTATTGCAAGTATTTCCGCATACGTTAACATATTAATACACCGTTACCATTATAAAATTTTACAAAACAATTTTAATATAACCTTATAAACTTATTATCCTTTAATATTAAAAATAATATAATAAATTTTATGTCGTTATTAATGTAAAAACTTTTAAAAAAAAAAGGTAATAACTTTATAAATCCCTCGTTTTAAAAAACGTTTATATATTAATTTATTAATTTTATAACTAAATTATTACCATTTAAAAGTTTTTTAAAGTCGTTATAACATCGGTTTATTAATTTTATTAAAAGTTTTTTAAAAATATTATAATATAAATTTATCAATTTTATTAAAAACTTTTTAAAAAATTTAATAAAT